GACCTTGTCTCAAAAAGGAAGGAAGGAGAGAGAGAGAGAGAAGGAGGTAGGTATAAGGAAGGAGAGAGAGAGAGAGAGAGAGAGAGAGAGAGAGAGAGAGAGAGAGAGAGAGAGAGAGAAGGGACAATACAAAATTTGGAGTGAAAAAAATCTTTGGAATACATATATTTGACGCAAGACAAATACCCAGTATATATAAAGAACCTCTATAACTTAATAAGGAAATAATCTCAAATAACTCAACTTTAATAACTGGACAGGCACTTTGAAAATGCCATAGTCATTACCGGTGCTTCCTGCCAGATGGCAAAGCATCTCTAAGTAGCAAAGACACCCTCTCTTGTGGTAAGTCCCCACTGCCTGGGCACAGTGGTTCTCCAGTAGGGCTTCTTTCTGGGCCAGCAGCAGCAGCTTCACCTGGAAACTGGTAGGAAATGCAAATTCTCTTGGCCCCACCTAGACCTGCTCAATGGGAAACAGTGGCGGTGATACTCAACAGTCAAGTGCCAGGTGATCCCAGGCAGGAGGGGAGGAAGGAAGGAAGAAGGGCTACTTCTTTAAGGCTAATTGGGTACCTCCCCTCCTCTTCCCCAGGCTTCTTAAGCCTGGTGTGGGAAGCTGGCCCTTGGGTGAAGTTCTGAAGCCAGATGAGAACCTGCAGGTGGTGGTAAGACTCATGGCTGGCAGCACAGTAAGCCTGAGCAGGGCTGTGAGTGGGATGTGGATCCAACCGCACACATCCAGGCGTCTCCTCCCTCTCCACACTGGGATTCTGGGAGGGGCCCCAAGGGCAGCCACATCATCTCAGCAAGCTTCCAAACTTGGGTTACACAAAATCACCATTCTCTCCACTGCTGTTTTGAGTGTTTCTGTCTCAGGCCTAGGGATGCTCTGATCTGTTGGGGGGGTGAGGGGAGGCAGGGAATGACTTGGCCTTGGCCTCCAGGAGTTTTCAATGGCTATTACTACAGCCACAATTCCCCAGGCCTCAAAGTAAGCTTTCCTTACATTACTCAGGAGACAGTGATAACAGCTGAGCTCCAAACCAGGGACCCAAGACCCTACCTCCCACCACAAAGCCACCCGGCAAAGCAGCATGAGTCGCCAGAGCACCAGCAGTGGGACAGAAAACACAGCAAAGCTCATACTCTGGGGTAAGGGCGAAGGCTGTCCCCAGCAAAAGTGGAATGGGCTTGCTGGGGTGCTGTGCCCCTAACGTGGGGGGAACCCATGAGCCTCCCAGCCCCACGCTGCCATCTTCTCGATGCAGGCGGTGAGCTCAATCACGAAAGGCTGACTTGCACCTTTAAACCCCAAGGGGAAAAGAAGGACAGCTGTAGACTGTTGCTCAACACGGTAGGTGCCTCCCAAAAAAAGGAGAAGGCGGCTGGGACAAGCGTGCTTCTCTGGCCTCAACAGGTAACAGCTTTCTCCCATCACCCTCCTCAGGTCTGCTTAGGGGAGAAAGCCAAAGAGGAGGTGAATCGTGTGGAAGTCCTGCCCTCAGCCAACCAGGAAGACAGAAAATTACCAGTCACCATTGCCTCACTGAGGGCCTCCGTCCTACCTATGGTGAGTCTCTTCCTTTAGGCCCAAGGAAGCGATCACTGCCTAGCTTCATCCTCCAATGGGCCTGGACGTAAATGTGGGTGCCTTCATGCCCTGGGCTTATAGCCATGCTAGAAAGGCAGTATGAACAGTGTCGTGTTCAAGCCATTCACTACTAGTCACCAAGACATGGTTGGTGGCTTATATTTGGGTTATGTGTCTAGAAATTCTCTTCCTTCTGGTATCTCATACTGTCCACAATTCATCGCTGTTTGTGAATAATAACAGGTTTGTAGTTCGGAGGTCTTTAAAAATGTGCTGGGGATGGGGAGTGTGTGTGTGTGTGTGTGTGTGTGTGTGTGTGTGTGTGTGTGTGTGTGTTTAGTCACATGTGCCATAGCATAAGTGGAGATCAGAGGACAATTTTCAAGAAGTTGTCTCTCCTGTTGTGGGTTCCAGGAATCGAACTCGGGACAGCAAATGCTTTTACCTGCTGGGCCATCTCTCCTGCCGTTCGTTGTCTGTTTGAGACAGGCTCTCATATTGTATCACAGGATAGCCTTAACCCTACAATTTCCCTGCCTCCCCCTCCTCGGGGCTGGGATGATAGGTGTGTGCCACCATCCTGGGCCCTTTTCCCTCTTCCCATAGCCTCACTGTGTTGCTCCATGGCCTAGGACTTTTGGTATAATACAAATTCTGCCTGACTTAAAACTGAGCTTGTGAGTTGAAAATGTTGTAACTGGGAAATGCTTTTACTATGCTTATCCCACGGAGCGCCATCCTAGTCCAGCGCCATGCCTTGGATGTAGAAGCATCATTCGTTTGCCTTTGAGAAAGCAGGGTGGGGAGAGCGTCATGGTGCTCGTTGCCATGGCCCTGGCTAGACAGGCCTAGGAAAAGATCAAAGTTCAGAATGCAGGTGTGTTTCCTACTAAACAAGCTTAACTTCTGCATCGCTGTCAAGTCAAAACTCCAGAGTAATTGGGAACTGTAATTAGATAAATGTGAACAGTTGATCTTTCCTCTTCCTTAATGTAAGATGGCTCTCCACGAAGTGACGGCAAACACCACTTCATCAAAGGAGTGAAGCCCCAATCTAGTCCTCCCATGCTTTAAGGTTTTTATTTTTATTCAAGAATAAGGAGTTAAATGTCGTCAGATGCTTTTTTTTTTTTAAGATTTATTTATTATGTATACAGTGTTCTGCCTGCATGCCAGAAGAGGGCGCCAGTTCTTATTACTGATGTTTGGGAGCCACCATGTGGTTGCTGGGAATTGAACTCAGGACCTCTGTAAGAAGAGCCAGTGCTCTTATCCACTGAGCCATCCCTCTAGCCCTCAAATGCTTCTTTAAAAAGATTTTGAATTAGTTTTATTTTACATGCACGAGTGTTCTTCCTGCATATGTCTGCACATTCATACCTGGTTCCCACAGAGGCCAGGGGAGGGCCTTGAAACTAGAGTTGCAGGTGACTGTGAAACACTGTCTAGCTGCTGAAACTTGAACTCTGCTCCTCTCGAAGAGCAGCCAGTGCTCTTAACAGCCAACCCTTCTTTCCAGCCCCTCAAATGTTTTGACTCCCCTGATCCCAGGTTCTTCCTCCATCCTTCCATTAACATACCATTATGTTGGTAGAAGAACATTTGAGCCCTTGGGGTTCCTTATTTGATCATGTGAACTCGCCATTCACTTTAATACGTTGGCATCACTTCTGGTTTTTGAGACAGGGCTTCACTGTGTGTGTGGCCCTGGCAGTCCTGGATCTCGATCTGTAGACCAGGCTGGCTTCAAAATCACAGAGACCCGCCTGCCTCTACCTCCCAAGCCCAGCCTGACATCTTTCTTTACTTAAGGATTCCTGGGGGTGGGGAGTGTGTGAACAGCTTGCCACAGCACTCATGTGGCAGTCAGAACAGCTTTGTGAAGTAGGTTCTCTCCTCAAGCCTTCTGTGAGTTCAGGGACTGACCTCTGGCTGCCAGGCCTGCTCAGCAAGTGCCTTCACTCACTGAACCATCCCACCAGTTGGCATGGTCTCCCTTTCTTTCATTTGCTTCTTGTTTTCTTGTTCTTGTTGTTCCTTGAGACCGAGTCTGTGTAGCCCAAACTGGCCTCAGACTCTCAGTAGTGCTCCTGACTTCCCAAGTGTTGGGATACAGGTGAGTACCACTCTGACTTCAGAAAAGAGATTTACTCCCAATGTGTGGTCATGGTGGGAAGAGGGTTATTTGTGTGTTTGGGGTTGTTTTGTTTTGAGAGGGTCTCACTCATGTCATCCAGACTGGCTGGAACTTACAATCCTCCTGCCTCCTCAACGCTGGGATGACAGCATTGTGTGACCAGCCCCTACCAGGGGCCAGGCTGAGTTACCTGTGTCTTCTACATTGCTCTGATGTCCCTCCCCACCACAGGCCACAATGACAGGTATGGAGCTTTGTCCTCCAGTGACTTTCCGGCTCCGGGCTGGCTCGGGACCTGTGTTCCTCTCTGGCCATGAATGTTATGGTAAGTTGATGTGTCCTAGGTAGCTGAGGCCTCTCCCCTTGCCTTTCCATGTCTTTTGTAGGCCTCAGGCCTCAGCTGTATCATGAGAGTGGTGTGGCCCGTGTTTCAGCTTCAGAGGATATTGTAGGGTAAACAGTGTCTTCCAAGACTCTTGCTGGGCATGGCGGCACAGCCTGTAATCTCAGCTCAAGGCCAGCCTGAGCTACATAGCAAGACCCTCTCTCCAAAAAGAGCAGCTCTTAACTATAACTAGTATTGGGAAGTGTTTCAGAGATGGGCTTACTAGTAAGTATGAAGCCAGAGTGATAACACGGGCCACAACTTGGGCGGCTTGCCGTGTCGACACCTTTAAGATCCACCTCACAGACTGATGGTGGTGGCCCACGCCTTTAATCCCAGCACTCGGGAGGCAGAGGCAGGTGGATCTCTTGAGTTTGAGGCCAGCCTGGGCTACAGAGTGAGTTCCAGGACAGCCAGGACTACATAGAGAGCTTGTCTTAAAAAAAAAAACAAAAACAAACAAACAAACAAAAAAAAACCCTACCTCACATCAGACCTCTGAAGAGGTTCCTCCACCTCAGCATGGCACACTGGGGACCAAGTTTCTAGCACATGAACCTTAGAGGGCCGAGCCATACTGTAACCCCACCATCTCCATCTCCCTCCCCTGCCGGTCCAGCTGCAGCTTTGTCCAGCCAGTTCTCAACACATATCCTCCTCCCGCCTGCCCTCCTTTCCCCAGCCTGCATGGAGATTTCCTGTCCCTTGCTCCACCCTGGCCCCTACTTTGGAGGAAGGGACAGAAAGGACATGGCTTGTTGCAGAACGTGAACCCTCTCCTCCCCAGTGCTTGTCTGGGGATAAACTTCGAACGGAAAGGGTTGGTGGGGAGGAGGTAGGCATTAACCCTGTGGCTCAGATGTTCTGGTTTTCCTCCACCCTGCCCTGTCCCTGCCTACTTCCCCTTCCATGACAGAGACTTCAGACATACCCTGGGAAGATGACGAGGAAGATGAGGGAGATGGCGAGGAGGAGGGAGAGGAGGAGGAGGAAGAAGAAGAAGATGAAGACGAAGATGAAGATGTGGATATATCACTAGAAGAGACGCCTATCAAACAAGTCAAAAGGGGGGCCCCCCAGAAGCCGATGAGCGCGGCTAAGGTTGGGGAAAAGGAATGATAGGAGGCACCAGGACCTGAGCTGGGCACGAGGCCATCACTACTAAAGTTCTGCATGTCACAGTTGGGACTGCTCAGTATTTAAGAATGTGTTCTGGTTCTGGGTCTTGGGGTTAACTCTCCAAATAACACTTGGTTTTTGTTCCCAGAAAAAAAAGGTAGAAAAAGAAGAGGAGGAGGCAGTAAGGTAATTCCCGCCCTTAATTCCCACTATGGCCACCACCAAGGATTGAAGTCCAGGCTTCTGGCATGTTAAGCAAACAGGGTACCACTGAGTTACAGCCCCCAAACTCTGTGTTTGGCTTGGTTTAGGTATTTTGTTTTGTTTGAGACAGGATATCATCAGTAAGTTGCCCAGGCTGGCCTTAAACTCGCTGTATAGCCCTGGCAGGCTGTGGACGTGTGATCCTCCTGCTTCAACCTCCCTAGGAACTGAAACAGTCCTGGGAAGCGGATACAGGCAATGTGTTTACATACATGTACACATGTAGATTCAACAGCTCTGGAGGTTGGCACAGTCCTTGAAAAGCGTGAACTATCCTTCTGACCTGACTACCTGAGGTAATTCCTCCCTTCTTCAAATTAAAAAAAAAAAAACAAAAACAAAAAAACAGCTCAAGATCTACACTCAAACTCACAGTGGCCTTACCCAACAGTCCTGGAAATAGTGGCACTCAAAATGTCTGCCAATAAGAGTTGACCAAACAGTGTCCCTTTTTTTTCCCCTTCTCCATGGTGCAAGGTAAATTGAACATATGTAGGCTTTGGAAGCATGTTAACAACCAAAAGGATAGAATTAAGAGAATAGGGCATGGACTCGTGTTCATTTCATGTCTTGCATTTTAGCAACAGCTTTTTTTTTTTTTTTTTTTTGCTAAAGTGATGCAAAAGATTAACACTGGAAAATAATGAAAAACATAAGTAATTCTCATGTGTTTGCTAAATTATGTGCAGTGAGGTTAACTTTGCTTTTATAGTGAAAAAATGTATTATGTCAGCTCTTGTTAAAATGTACTTAAGTACAGCTTATTCATCTGGACCAACTGAAATAAAACACCAGTCTCGGCACACAGAACAATGAGTACCAGAAAGAGAACCCCCAAGACTAGAGACCCTCCACGTGAGAATGCACCGAGGCAAACAAAGCCTTACGGTTCTCAAGGCTGTGGAAGCCTCTGCTAACCAGAAACTCGGACTTAATCCGGTCCAAACCTCCGCCAACTGGAGCGACTGCTGAGTCCCCTAAACAGCCGTCGCCACGGGGACGGACGGTCCAATGCACGTGGAGATCAGTGTACCTGGGGTTTGTCTAGACAAGATATTGGAGCAGTTTAAAGAGGTGAATGATAGATTGGTCGCAATGATGGCAAATTTTGAGAAAATGGAAAGGAAGGTGGGGACCCTTTCCCTCTCTGCCTGCGGAGGCTCGGAAGTCCCAAAGCAAGACCGGGCTTGTGCTCAGGATTAAAGCCAGCAATGGCAGAGCAGCAACAATCCACTCGTGTGTCAAACATCCCAAGCATGATTCAGATTCGCTGGGAGTTCTGGAGTCTCTCAGGTTTGTAATCCCGAGGACAAATCTCTTCTGCATCCCCCACCCCAAGAGATGAACACATCGACCGTGTCAATAAGCCCCTTAACGGTGCCAAGATCCTGTACAACACAGCCTAACAAAAAACACCCTCAACCTGCCTGTCCCACAACTGGAAGGAAGAAAAGAAAGAAAAAGAATAAATATTTTAAGGCTGATCATGGTAACACACGCCTTTAATCCCAGCACTCAGGAAGCAGAGGCAGGTGGCTCTCTGAGTTCTAAGCCAGCCTGGTCTTCTACATAGTGAGTTCCAGGACATCCAGGGCTACATGATAGACCCTGTCTCAAACAAAAAACAATGAAGAAACATTTAAGTATATATTGTCTATTGAACCTCTACCCCCATTGAGCCTGTACCCTCCATATCCCCACCCTTTTATCACTCTCTCCCTCCTACTATGAAAACAGGTTTTGTTTTTTATGACAGGGTTTCTCTCTGTGTGCAGCCCTGGCTGTCCTGAAACTTGCTCTGTAGACTAGGCCTGACTCTGCCTCCCCAGTCAGTGCTGGGATTAAAGGCCTGTATGTCTCAAA